AAAAAGTCTCCACCTTGTATTCACAACCACCTTCTTTTTTCTCCAGCTCTGGACTTTGTTCTTGAAACAAGTTTGGGTGTTGCTACTCTCACCCAAACTGATGAGTTCTTTCTTTCCCAGGAGTCTCCTTGGTTCCTCCATGTGAATAGATTCTTGGCAAGGCCACAGTCTGTCATCCTGCCCAGAAGTGCCTACTTCCTAGAGTAAGCATAGACTTCAGCTAAACCCATTTTTATTTGAGAGCTTTGCTTCTTAGGTATCAGGAGTCACATGTTCAGAATTCAAGTCCTGTTGCTACAATGATGATGATGATGATGATGATGACAAATCTTTCCCATGTATCAGACCCCTTGCTAAGCACTTTAGATACATTACTCATTACTGTATTTCTCTGAATAATTCTATGTGGTACGTGCTAGCTATCAATCATTATCCTCATTTTGCAGAGGAGGAATCTAACCTAGAAAGGTTAAATGGCCAGCCCATGGTCACAGGGTTGGCACAGCGCAGAGCCAGCCCTGGCCCCTCCCAGCCACTCCTCTGCCGCTGGGACTGGGCTGTGAGCTGCCTCACCAGGACCCCCCCAGCCTCCCTGGGCCTCCTTCCAGCTCCGCTTTCATCCTTTCTAGGCCCTTCTCCCAGAGGTTCCCCTTGTAATCCACAGGTGGGTTGCCAAACCATATCTAAAGGCCTCCAAGTGGATCGAAACCCCAAGCTTCCACCCTCCCCGTCCCCACATTCTCTCTGTGCCCTCCTAGGGCTTCCAGGAGGAGACATCCCAGTTGGGGAAGAAAGCTGCGTCAGCAGTAGAGCCCCCTCCTCAGGCCCCTCAAGACTTCTATAGAGCAACCTGCCCTCCTCTCTGTAGCTGCCTCCACAGACCCAATTCTGGAGCTAGAAAGTGGTTTCCCCTCCCTACAAGGCCATCCGCATTCTGCATTACACGGTGAAAAGTCTGCCTGATTTTAGTGGGTGTTTTCATTGAATAGGGAATTCAAGTCTGGGCTTAAATGCCATAGAAAAAGAAAAAGTTACTGTCTTTTCAGAATGCCCATTGTAATTTGTCCTTAGAGTTCCCCCTCACCCCCCACCCCCCACCATGGTCTTTTTTTTTCTACTTGAACCGACAAACTGAACCGCCAGATAAATACAGCTGCAAAGTGAATAGTTGCGGGTATGATTTCTTCCCCTCATTCATTCACCCTCCTGGCTTAACCAAACCAGAAAGTTTAAAAGACCACTCACCCTTTCTTTGACAGCGTCCACAGAGAACAAGGCCGAGGGCTAATCAAACAAGCTTGATCATCCAATGCATTTGAAAGTGAAACATAAGGAGTGAATTATCCTGTGTGGCTACACCCATCAGTTTAACCAAGAACCTGCCAGGGTGCCCCTGCATGCAGAGTGGTGCCTCTACCACTCACCACCTGTGTCACCTCTCAATACTGAAGTTTCCCCATCTGTAACGTGTGAGGACTGGATCTGAGAATTCCAAGGTCCTGAACATTCTCATGGTCTTTATTTTATAGTTCCAAAATGCATCATTTACGAGTCGGATAATTTAGGGGGTGGGTGACGGTTTGAATAAAAATGATCCTCTATAAAATTTTCACCACGCAATTATTTGATAGAGCAGGTTTCCACTGTGTACTTAAAGCAGGGTTCAATTTACAAAAATCTGACTTGCAGCCAACTTCTAAGTGACACATTTACTGTTTCAAGTGGGGCTTGCCCGTAGGTCACAGTTTCTAAAAACACCGATAATTCCCTTCCTCCAGAGAGTCCTTGACAGTGAAGCATTACTAGAAGCTATTCTAAAATCATTACTTCTCTTGGGCTGTGTTATTTATTTATTTTTTCTGTAAAAAACATATTTACAAACCCTCAAAAACTGGCTTATTTATAATAATCTACTGGTCCTTTTGAAACACAAATAAACACAGATTATATCACTTCTCTGCCTACCACGTTCCAGAGGTCTCCCATTTTTCTGCTGTTCCCTCCACCTGGAGTGCTCTCACCAACCCTCTCTTTCATTCCCCCTTATCTTGGAACTTGTTATTTCTTCAGGGAATTGTCAAATCCCTTTATTATAACTCTCAGGTGCGATCTGCAGTTTCTTTGGATGAGCACGTCCTGACCATGAATAACCTCTATGCTCTGTTGTCGCTCACGTGCTTCCTGCATGCACAACGCTGTCCAGGCACTAGATTCACAGCAGGATCTCTACCTTCAAGGAGCCCACCGTCTTCTGGGTAAATAGGCAGCAGTCAAGTACAAGAATGACCCCAACTACTGCTGCCCTCCCCTCCCAGAACCTGGGGTATGCTATGAGAAGTCAAGTGTAGACTGTCAGTGCATCAGGCTCCCACGGAGGATGAGTTCATGTCCTAACCACACATCTGCTCAAACCATCCTTTCACTGCTTCCAGTCTAAGAAGCTGGAAGAGAAAGGATCATGGGTTGACCCCGCCTGGCCAACTGTGCCAGCTTGAGGGAAGGCCCCTGTCGGCATGCTGAGAGGACCAAGGACCTGCATGTCCTCCCCTTCCTCCATCCTAAGTGTCTTCCCGCCCTCCTGCTCTGTACTGCCCTGCCCCAATGCCAGGACCTCTTATTTTTTTTCCTCTTTAAATGAATTTCCTTCCCCAAATGTGCACCCTCTTTCCCAACGACAGTAACATATCTTGCCATTTTGATGTTCATAATATTTATGGGATGCCTATACTATCATCCCCATTTTACAGCCCAGGGAATACATCCAGGGACAACATCAGCTAGTTCACAGCAGAAGCGGGGCCTGGAAACCGGACCTCCGGCTCTCCGTCCAGTGTTTTCCCCACCCTATCTCAGCCTCCTAGGCTACACCAGGCCTTTTTTCCAAGCCCGAGAATCCAGAGTTGGCTGCCTCCTGCTGGCAGGGAATTCCTTCCAGGCTTCCAGTGTTACTGCTAAAGAACAGAGAGTTCCAGAAGCCAGGAGGGAGGATGGTACACAGAGGCAGTATACGCTTCTATTTCCCTCTCTCATCATGGAAGGAGAGAATGTCTTACCATTTGGAGGGGGAGGGAGGATTATGCAAACCAATAATTTGTGACCGGTGATAAGTGTCAAAAAAGTATTTACTCACATTCATTCCCTGAAAGTCACATTCTCCATGTGTTCTTATTTGTCTTTCAGCGATGGCATTAGTCCGGTGGACTCAGCAAGATATATCAAGGTTTTAGCCAAATGCTGCAGAGGGAGACTGTTTCATTTAACTTCATTTTTTCCAGCCAGAGCTGGCTCCAAAGCTGGTTTTTCTGACTAGGTTGTTTGCCACACGAAAAAGCAAATTCCCAGAGGTTTCTGCGATTGCCGAGATCCCATGCAAGCTGACTGCTGCCACCCACCCGCCCACCCACCCACTAATAAGACATAATGCCATCCTATTTTTGGTAACAATTAAAGGGCCTCCCGGTGCAAGCAGAAAGCTGTTTATTTTCTGTTACATCACTTCGCTTTGCCTTCGAAGGCTGGTCTGTGTTCAGTGTTTTCGTGGTGATGCAAGTCGGCTCTCTCCTCCAGCAGTTGGATCCCTCCCATCTCACAGCACCTCACAGGTCTCTTCCCTGAGCAGTGCATTGCTGGAGAGCGGAGCAGCTCACGAATCAGCTGCAGGTCCCTGTTTTGAAAAAGCAGAGATACAGAAGCAAAGGAAAAGGGTGGACTCCTATGTGACCTGGTCTCAGAGCAGGACAATCACCAGCTGAATTCCAGAAGCCCTGTTCATGTTTGGGGAGATTGTGTCGACTGCATGGAATCAGAGAGAAGCCAAAGGATGGGAAATGCCTGCATCCCTCTGAAAAGAATTGCTTATTTCCTATGTCTCTTATCTGCGCTTTTGCTGACTGAGGGGAAGAAGCCAGCGAAGCCAAAATGCCCTGCCGTGTGTACTTGTACCAAAGATAATGCTTTATGTGAGAATGCCAGATCCATTCCACGCACCGTTCCTCCTGATGTTATCTCATTGTAAGGCCCGTAAGCATTTTGCTATCTAATTTACGATTTTAAAATTCAGGCCAGTGTATTGGGGGCTTTGCATGTATGGGGAGAAGGGCATAGAGAGAGAGATTGATTCCTCTTGCACGCTTGGCCATTTGACAGTGTTAACATTTTGCTGCATTTAGAAATTTTGATTTTGATTAGCTGCTATGAACATGCTTAGATTCCCCCCCACCCCCCGGAACATTATTATGGGAAACCTGTGGCAGATTCATTTTTCCTGCTCCATCTGGGAAGGAACAGAATTGTACTTCATAAAATTGTGTCGAAATATTGACTGTTTTGCTAAACTGGATTAACATAAGGTTTGTTCTGTGTGTGTCTTTTTGTGTGTGTGTCTGTTTGTTGGTTTTGTTTTGTTTGTTTTCTTTCAGATCCTTTGTGAGATCTGGTTTTACTGAAATCTCAGAAGGGAGTTTTTTATTCACCCCATCGCTGCAGCTCTTGTGAGAAATATTTATATCATGACTATTTTTAAATATAGCATATATTTGGATAAGCCTTCTAGTAAAATGATCTCAATATTAATGTTGTCAAATGTGATTGTATTTCTGGAAAGAAAGAGAATATCAGTAAAGTGAGAGGTAGAGATGGTTTGTTTGGGACTTGATACCGACGGTGCAGGTTGATTCTTGTCGATGGTAAATTTGCTAACCTGTAATACTGTCTACTTTCATGGCTAGTTATGAAGTTATTGAAATGTGACAACCATGATCCCAAGTCCATTCCACTATTTTACTTTCATTTTTGACTTGGGAACTTTGGTTATTTTGCCCTGGAGTTTTTGAATTAGTCAGTACAGAACCCAGCATAACATATGCGCTCAAGATGTTATCTCCTGGGGAACCCGGGCGGGCTGCTACTCTGTATGATTTACCATGGGGGGGGGTGAGGGGGGAAATCTGGGTTCTTTCTAGGTAATTCCTTAAAAGATTAATTCTGCAGAGACTGTTTGCTAATCTCATCTAATTTATAACTAGTCCCCTTGCAAGGAGGGAAAGAAAATATTAATATAGGATAGGGGCAAAGGATTAGTCTTAGCTGTGTATTTTGAGTTAGCCACGAGGGAACCACATACTTATTCTGTGTCTCAAAATAGTCACACACAAAAAATAATATTTGACTCAGATCTCTCCACAGGCATAATGCTACATATATAATTTTTTCTGATGTGTAATGTTTGGCTATTGGAGTGCTAGTTCTCAGAGCAGGACCCCGTAGGGGTCAAGAGGTCCCCTGGTGCTCAGGTATCAGGCAACAGGCTAGGTTGTAGTGACACATTTCCAGAAGGGGATTAGCCAATTGTCAATCAACTGTGTTTTAGTTATCTTAACTGGATGATTCAGAACCCAAGTTTTGGGGTTCCTTTTGATTGTTTTTGTTTTCTTGCCTTAACTGACCATGTGGCTGTTCGAAGTTAGATATACAGAAGCAAACAGCATAGATTTGAAATTGCATAGACCTGTGTATAAATCTCACCCTGCCACTCACTAGAAACTATGTTTGTAATCTTGTACAAATGACTACATCTTTCTGAGCCTCAGTCTCCTCATTTGTAAAATGGAGAGAAAACAGAGATAAATAAGATTTCAGGAGATAAAATGCTTGGCATAGGTCAAATGGTTACACATTTTATAAATGGTAGGCTTTAAAATTTTTACATGAAGCTAAAAAAAATCACAACTTATTGTTTGTCTGTGAAAACCCAAATGGGTTTGACTATTTCATGAATTCACAAACCTGATCAGGTGTTTTGACATTATGCAACAGTGTTAGCTGATGTCCTTCTACCAGCTAATGTCTTTGAGTAATTAACAATTGAGTAGAATACTCCTAAGGCATTTATGTGTTTGATTGAAGGCTAATGGTATAATTAGGGGAAGTGTTAGCACATCAAACAAATCCAAAAAAGATAGAGTCTTTAGCACATACAGGGTTAAAGTCTCTAGTGCTGGGATAAGAATTGGTTGTATCTGAGAAAGTGATAAATTGTGCTTATGTTGTTCATTTGTTAAATAAATAAGTGGCTCACTTAAAAAGCATCTTTCTGATGAGCTGTGGCATCTCTCTCCCTCTAGGATAGTTCAAGTTCAAGAGGTGTCAGTCGACACATACTACTCATATTCCAACACTAGGTGGACTTGTGCAGTGACACAGAAAGCCTGGATTGATCAACCTAATCAGTTAGCACATCTCCACTTTGTTTTTGCTGAGTGGACCCAGCCTCAGCAAGCACAGATGCTGGACAATGTTATAGAAATAGTTCCCGACTGCTGCAGGGTAATGTGATTACACGTATTTAGAATCACAGAGGGAAGCCAAGGAACTGGTTTTTAAATAGCCCACACCAAGTGTGTGCCATGCCCCTGTATCCCATGCTCCAAGTTCCTATGGAACATTCCAGCCCTTATTTCTAAAAGCAGTTCGGGTTTCAGAAATAACAAAAGGGAGAGTAAGTCTTGCCCTGTATGTCCTTACTTAACTCACATTGGCTAAACTAACCTCCGCATGGCGGATTTGTGCCAGAGCTGATATTATGCAAAATTGCCAAGGGTCAAAGTTTGTCTCTAATCTTCAGAACACTGTTTCCTAAAGATTTGGTTCCTCAGTCTTACTGCCCAATGTTCTCTGCTTCCTCCCATCCTCAGGACAGGGTCTAATAAGCTCATTTTCACTGAGGAAATAAATGCTAAGGCTCCAAATATGAACTGTGCCGTAATCACAACAGTGGTGGAAATGGACGGCTCACCAACAGAAAGAGTTCTGTGGGACACGGCCACCCAGTGCTATGAAAGTTGCACTTGGGCTGTCTCCCCTCTCCTCCCCCACGTTTTGAAATATAACTAAGGGGTCTGAATTTGCCTTTGCATGACTTTGCCATCAGATAAGGTGTTGATCACACCAGCCACTGTTTGCAATGAATTCTAATGGCATTTGTGACCACAGATTACCAAACTGACTTGTCGTATTCTGTCTGAATCAATTCTGCCTGATTCATGTACAAAGGCAGTTGGTTTCTTGCCTGTTGTTCAAAAGGGGGAGAAAATGCCCCCTTCCCCTCATACATCCTAACAATTTGATAATTTCATGATGGCACCAAATGCTTTTTCCGGCCTTCTGTAGAGACATGATGAGAAGTACTTTTTGAAATGTCAGCCTGGGATACTGAAGGAAGACGTAGTTCCTCCTTAAGTTATACATAGTGTCTGGGGAGAAGATGCTGGTAGGCCATAGCTGGCAGTGTGTACTGGAGAACAAGAAAAACAAAAGCCCATACTCTATAGAGAGAAAAATAAATCCAATACAAAATCGTCAGATTAGTTGTACAAAAAAAAAAAATATATATATATATATATATATATATATATATATATAAAAGATTTCATTGGGGAATTGGGGGAGGGGAACAGCATTGGGGAATCGGGAAAGGGGAACAGACAAGTTGCTGTTCTTTTGTTCTTCAGTCTAGTGGAGGACGTTGCTTCACTGGCCCATGTTGGTATTATCATTGCGCTCTTCCCGGGTGAGGCGGTCGCTCACCAGCCATTGGACGGCTGCTCACAGTGGCTCTTGGCAACTCACGCTGGCTGCCAGCCACTCACAGTAGCTTTATGACAGCCCCACTGCAGACTTACTGCCGCCTACGCCATCCCCGGCAACTCACAGCAGCCCAGCTCCAGGTTGAGCTGTTGTTCACCAATCTTAGCTGTAGAGGGCACAGTGTCGCTGACCCTCATGTGGGATCTGAACTGGGGCCCTGCTGCTCAGAGCTGGCGTTCCAAGCCAGCTCTTAACCAACACACCACTCGGCCAGCCCCCAAAGATATATTTTTTAAAATATCTCATTTCTTGTTTTAAATGACAAAACCTTTCACAAAAAGATAAAAATTAAAATGAAAAAAATGCCATTTCATTGAGGTTTTGCATAGGGCCGGCTGTGAAACATAACCAATGAATACGATTATTCGAATTCTAGTTTGCTTTTCGTGAGAGGGAGTGATGTTTGTAATGAATGTAATTTACAGAAATGTGTTTTCACACATTACAGCACTTCTCATCTACAGACTGAAATCCCCAATGATATAGGTTCATTACAGAAGTAAAATTCAAATTTAAAAGAATAAAATGAGGCCACACTGCCAATTGTTTATAAAATTTTTAATAAATGAAATGCCTCCAACTCTTAAGAGAGTTCTAGTTGCATGAAGTAAATTACAGGGTTGGTATGAGTATCATGCTCCAAAACAAAAAATCTACATGTAAGAATTCAGTGTGATCAGAAAAAAAATCCATTTATTCCAGTGAGATTTTTATCTTACTTGAAGCAATAGAACTGATCCCTCGGGGGGGGGGGGCAGGGGGGAATTGTTATTTCTTTTATTAATCAACACAGAAGTACATAGTCCACAAGAAATCAAAAGCTAAAAAGTGGAAAAGCTAATAGTATGAACAAAGTAAATAAGTCTAGCCTTACTAAGGTTTTATTGTTTAGTAGCTCAAAATGTTATTAGTCCAGGGTAAAATATTCATGGTCTATCTCACCTTTACAGTGTTTGGCCTCTTTTTCTATTCTTCCTTATATTACAAGTATAAGAAAGAAATAGCAATCTTCAATGACTACTCAAGCCAGACCTATTAGCTAAGAGGGCTTATAGAGGAATTAGTATCTGGTTGTAGATGAGCGTGTTTTGGTTTTTGCTCAACTAATGCCCCCACAATGGACCAAGAAGTCACAACTTCAGTCATCCAGGCTGTTTTGTCTATGATTCATCCAATGACCCACAGCTCTGATTTTTAAATTAATTAAAATTTGTTGTAACTGTGCAAACTAACCCTGTACCACAAATATTTTCCCTGAAAGTGTATTTCTTCCTCTCAATTATTGAGGCAAAAAACTTAGGAGTTACCTATCCCTTGTCCCTCACTGTCCACTTCCAACTGGACAAGTCCCCTCTTTAGCAGCAGGAGAATCTGCCACCTCCTCTCTGCCCAGGGCCATAGCCCTAGCTGAGGCTAAACTCGCTGTTTCAGAGCTTCTGCACTGGCCTCCCTGCTTCCAGTTCCCATTCTACCCACCTCCCTGAGTGTTACCTTCCTGAAACACAGATCTCATCATGTCTCCCTCATGCTTGGAAGCCTTTGATGGTTCCCTAGAAACAGGGAAAGTCTGAACATGTGAGTTGGTATTAACAGAATTTGGCTGTTTGTCCAGGATCACTCTCACAATATTGACCACACACCACACACACACACACACACACGCGCGCGCACACACACACACACACACACACACACACCCCAAGCTCCAAACAGACTGAACTACTTTACTCTCTGACCTCTGTTTTCTCAAACTCTAGGGACTTTACTGATGTCTCTAGTGCTTCCTGTCATTTATTAGAGCTACTTGTGCTGCATCTGCCCGTGCCTCTCATGAAGGATGATCAAT